TTTCTTGAACAAAAAACGTCTCAAAAACAGGTTTCAATATTCTCTCCAGTACGGTTTGTTACTTTGTTTGATAGAACGTAGGATGCACGATGTAGTTCGGTCATTTCTGATATAATAGTGTTATCTGTAAGAGATACCTAACTGGGTCGTATCGCTCGCTATTTGATTTGCTGTCCCTGTTAGATCAAAATAAACCTAAATTGCTGGTCGTATATGCGGAGATCAACGCAGTTTAGATGGCTGAATGTGTCGGTGATCAGGCTTGGTCAAATAAACCTGGCCTAATGGTATGAAAATCCAGACCAAGGGATTTGAATTATTGTACTTCACATTTGCCTGAGTTCAGACTATGTTCAACATTCATGGTAGAAGTATCAGACCATGATTCTTCCGTGGACCGAATGCTGACAGATCGCACAGACCTAAGTATATGAAGTTTTCTGAAGGATTCACAACCGGAACCTTTGCCTGACCAAAGCGCCAACCACGAGGCAGCCGGTGATGTGTGGGAATCGAATTCCTCTCATTGGACTGGGTCAACCTTCTCAGGTTCCTAAACAATTGGTGGTTGCTACCGGAACCAGTAATACTTGGCCCGTACACATCTTTTTGGTAGTTCTGAAATCATTTATTTTGCCAACTTCCCTTGCTGAGCTACTGGTGATTTACCGGTCTAGTTATATCCCCCCCAAGTGTTGACTTTTCGTTCTCCCTCCTTGGAGAAAAACTGTCTCCGTCACACTGTGAGTCAGAATTCCTCAGCAAAGGCTTTTTGAGTCAGTCGGTCGTAAGGAAGTATTTCAAGGACGCCGACTCCCGAGAATCAGTTATGGTGGTTGTTCATCTACTCATCTGCCCGAATTCAGTTTTACTGCATTCAGAATTTTTATCCTAGTACTACCACTACTACTACTATTACTTCTACTTCTTCCTTCTAATCTTTCCTCGAATAAATGGTTAGTTTGAACAGGCAAGTTAGAAAACAAACACTGCGGGAGGAACTCCTTTCGTATACTCTCATCGGTCGCGCACGTATAACATCAAACATGGTTAGTTGTTTGAAAACAACCAAAGTGAAAGATTAGTGGTGGTGGTATAAATTACAACTGAAACTATTCCGGAGAATTAAGTTCACTAATTACCTTGAACCTTGCTTGGTGACGTGTTTTGCACAAGAATCTTCGTTGCTTGATTTTCATGGTATTCTGAATGTATTGTTACCGTTTCCGGAACATGCCCGTTTTCCCTTGTAGTATTTTGATCGTTGAATGCTTATTTCATTTGTTTAAAATCACTGTTTCTCCGCAGTTGTGGAACTATCCAAAGACGGTGTGGAACAATCAAACCGCACGAATGACCAGAAAAATCGTTGCCCTGAATGTGGCCGCATGTTTTCCTCCAAGCAAGCTAAAGAAGTTAGTTCAATTTTTGATTCACTCACTTCGTTTTTTGCTCTTAGCCCTCATTTTCTAAATTTCCTCTAGTCAGTTTGAAGAATGAAGACTTGTTTGAAAAAGTCGAAGAGCTTTTTTATTCGACTGCTTGTCGAAAAAAGAAGAACCCAATCCATCAGAACAATTCACATACAGGTCTATCTAATCGTCTAGCACTTTGCTCGCCATTCTCAAAGTTCGACGAGATTCCGTTATACAGCCTGATTGTAGACGCTACCCAGTCAATATTCATGCACATTCCTTTCGGTAGGGGAAGGAATGTTTGAACGAAGGACATTTCGATGTCACTCAAGGAGCGCCTGCGGTGGTCTTCGGTCATCCGAAAAATCTTTATCTTAGATTAAAATCACACCTCGAGTGAATTGTATTACTGAACAATATCGGTTGCTTCGAGTTTTGGGTTCCGGATTCATTCATAATCACGCGGTTTAAGAACTGATTGATGCATATCGGATGATTTTGATGGTATTGACCATGTAATGCTAACAAGTATCAGAAAATTTATGGTCATATCGATGTGAAAATATCAAGACAATCTAGTCTTTTGTTCAAACCAAAAAGCTTTTTTAATTTCTTCTACATCCCTTTTGCAATAGTGCGAGCATCTTTGCTCCACATTTGAACTAAACCAGTAGAAACATTACGTATCATTTGTTTTGAACAACCAAATCTTTTCATTCAATCTTTCGCTCCTGTTATCTTGAAAATCAATAAATAGTTGTCTAGCTCTTTTCATTTATCTTCGTTTTAGATGTACATAAATGAACCTTATTCTGGTCATTTTTTCCACAGCTACATTGCCGCACACATCGAATGTCGACCATGTACAAATGCGCTCTTTGTGGTTCGATATTCCGGAATATGGGCTCCTTGAAGCGGCACGCGATTTCATCACATGGCATTGTTCTAGAAAGTGCATTCATGGATAATCCAGAGGACAAAGATTTTGAGGCTCCAGTCGAGTCTAATTCGGATACAGATAGTGGTAGCAGCAGCAGTAATGATTCTACGACTAAAGCGCTGCGCGGGCGTAAACGATGTCCGGGTAAACTGAAGCGTAGGTCCCGTCCAGCAACTGCTCGGTTTTCAACTCTACACCAGACAACGGTCTCTTCAACTCCGCTTACTGGAGAGTCTGCTACTGTTGCTGCTGCTGCTTTCCCACACGTGAGACGCCGCCGAGGTCGTCCGAGACGGTCTAGCGCTCGGGTGATAAAGTCATTAGGTAAGTCTCTTTGAGACCGTTTGTACTGATATGGCATCCCATCGAATGTTTTAACGTAGGCAACCCAGTTATCTTTTTGGCCGCCCTTTTTCAGATGAGCTTGCAATAGATTATTTTTCGTGACTTGACATGAAAGTCCGCATCTGTAGTTGCGTAACAGTTGACGAAAGTGTGAGTGAGAATATCTCCTAACGCGTCATTAAAGTAAGTAAGATTTTGTCTATTCTACATCTCTTGCACCGTTACCGCATATCCCCTTTATTGAAGGGACTTGTATATAGCGTAACCGTATGTTCTATTTTGTGAAACTTGGCCTCACCAAGCAGATCCTGACCAACGGTTATCGGTTTTCGACAACCGTTGCCCGTGCATCATCATCCATTTATGGTTGTAGCCACGTTAAAGTGTGTTACGAGTACATATCCAACAAAAATGCTGAAAAGAGACCTATTTGTGATGAATAAAACAACTACTTGGCTTGTCGATTCATGGTCTAATTATTTGACTTTATCTTTGAATAGTCAGTATTAAAACTAACACTCTGATGTTCTGATTCATGTTTTCATTTCGCAGATAATCATGCTGATTTACTGCAAATCGATCCAATAGCCATTTCAAATCAGCTCCAAGAAACCCAACTGAGTGGGTTTCAAGGTGAAACACGCTATCGAACAATCCTTGTGAGTTTCTCTCAACACTTATTCCAAAGTATCCTAACTGCTCTCCCAGTGATCGGTAGCCTATTTCTCAATATTGCTTGACCACTTCTGAGGATTCTCGTCTTTTATATCCTTTAGCTGTTTGAATATCTTTCCTCAAATGTTATGTAGTCACCTTTTGGACCTTTCAAACCATTGAGAGTTGAAAGCTTTTACTGTCATCGGTTAACTAATTCAACTTTTCATGACTTCCTCGAATTGTTAAGCATGTCGGTTTCATAGTGCTCGTGTCACACAACACTAGAGAAATACCCCCCTTCGGAGTGACAAACAGTTAAAATGAACGTCATCTCGCTTACCATGAGTCTATCGGCGTTTTTTCTTGGAGCGCAACGCAAGGCGTGTTTCAACTAGACTTGACTGTCGGATGGACAAATCGCCGAATTCGACCAACCACCCTTGTCAGAACTCGTTTGACTCCAATTAGCGGTATGTCTGTTCTGTATGGAACCTAGGAACTGCGAAATGGAGGTCTAGGAAGCATGCTCGGCAGAGTTAATCCTCCGGTCGACCGTAAACATTTTTTGAACATGCATATTCCACGGAAAAACATTTCATCATGAAATTCATGTACGAACTTTGCACTTGTTTGATTCTACTGATAGAACCTATCCTTATTTGGAAAACCATATTTCCCATCTATCCTCATCATTTCGGTTTAGACATGGCTGTGTGATGCTCAGTAGTGAACTAGTTCCCAGGACTAGCAAACGACGAGCGAAGACTGCATATCCTCTGGAGATACGCTCGGGGGCCAACAACATTAGGGGTGGTTTTTGTCATGGCTTTACAATTTTTCCCAGATAGTTCTCCATCACAATCTGTTCTTCATTTGGACGGTGTTAAATCCCATCTGTAAGTCATGACGCTTTACTGATGAAAAGGGTGACTCTTAGTTCATATCAATTTACCGAGTAGCCTTAATTCACGTTCAAGTAACCATAGTGTCAGGTTATGTATGCCCTAAGAGACTTCTCAAGCTGTAGGGTACGGTCAACTGGTGCCATTTATTGTCACTTCGATCACTCAGGGCTCAGCGACGGTTTGACACATTGGTTTATAGTTCTTATGTCGTCGAATTCATTAGTTATCGTAACCGTTAATGAGAAACTGTTGTGCTCGTGTGTAGAAACTTTTCTTCGATGCATCTGATTTCTGTAAACTTACAAGTATGTCACCTTTTGACATCTAACCTGAACTTTTTATTGTTCCGATCTGAATAGCCTCGTCCACCTGGTGGACCACTCGGTGATTTGGCAGCCTCTCGACCAATCGTAGTTGATCGAAACCAACGTCGACGTCTACGACGTTCCAAGAAATTATTACAAAAGCCGGGTACTTTGGCCCCTCTGCTTTCCGAAAACTCTAACCCCAATCGCTTGCCAATTGGCACTGCTTTGACATTGAATACTCAATCTCAAATAAATCAGACCGCTTACCTGGATACTTTCGGTATACCTGCGGAATCTTATTTGACCTTGGATACATCTGCCTATAGCACCGGAGCGTGTGCATTGGATTTTACCGTCGCGGATGATTCCGGTCAGTCAAATCGGAAACCTCCTCATGTACTCACAGTAGCTGCGGCTTATGCATCGCAGTTGCCTCCTGGTTCAATTCCTGCCGCATCGGTTGAAGAATGTGAGGCGCTTTTGAAGAGCCAATCGACAGTTGAAGGCAAAACATCAGGTTTAACGGAATCATCTACACCGGTTAGTGATGCCTACGTAATAAAACCTGACGTGCACATTTATCCATGTAATTTGTTTGGTCGTAACTATCCAAATGAAGATTCGCCCCTGATCATTATTTTGGCTTGAAAACCGTTCTGCATCCAATCCAGTTCTCATGAGCCTAATCGTGATACATCTCGTTTCTATGATTTTCTATTTTATTTATGCATTTAACAACGAATCATTTGTCGCGGGTGTAACCGAGATTCTGTGCTCCGCCAATAAAATTCTTGATTTTTGTTTTGCCGACGCATTATGTTTCCAACCCCATTAGATATCAACTTCGAGGGTCAGACGCGTGGTTGTTATTTTATTGGATAGCTCACTTAGAGGGAACACTAGATGGCAACAAAGTTTTTTGTTGTTATTGTTAAGATCTGCTTGCAATTAATCCTAAAACAGGTCAGAATGATCGTTTGGCTATTCTAGGGGATAATAATATTCCGGCTAATCTTCTATGTTCACTGGACTCAATCAGCTGTTGTCCCCAGAACATTTCACCGCTGTCTCTGCTCTGTTTAGTGCATCGATGTTCGCATTCGTGTGTGGATCGATAGGAGAACGTGTCGTGCATCAAGGCTGGATTCAAGTAATTTAACAATCTAGAATATTGTTCTTTGTTTTTCAACTAATGATTGCATCCGCGGCATTATAATTTTCATCTCCAGTGGGGCCCTTTGAGAATATGAATAATTTTGGATCCGAAAGGTATAGAAATGGTCTAACTGACGTTATGAAATCCGACAACGTTTTTTTCCCTATGGGCTACAATGTATCGACCATCACCAAAGTAAACAATTGATTGTGCACTCCTTAACACCTGATGTAAACCTACCGATAGACACAAACACTGTTGACTTCCGTTTTCAGAGCCACCCGTTTCACTTGATATAATAATGCTTACGAAAACACAATAGCAAACAAAGCTTGATTTCGATAACTTCTTCCTCGATCTGATACAGTTATTGCATTATTTTGATCATTTCAATCTCTACATATAATGTAGAAGTTATCGAAAACAAACTGCTCGCTACTGTGTTTTCTTGATACCAGGATGAAAATGCGGATGTCTTGCACTCCACTGTATTATTGTTTCGCCTGTTTCTGTGGATTCTTTTCGAAATTCGCTGACCTATTCTGGTTCCCTTTACATTCTACTTCTCTCCCCCTAATACATAGGTGCACACTGCTCCCATGATACCCAGCATCCAGATTTATCCCTCAACTTGGATGGAGGGCCAGCAGCAGGCTGTGGCAACCGGTATAGTTGCATCAGGAGACATGTCTGGAGTAGATGGCACTGTCTCACAATCCGTTTATGAGGTTTCAACTCGCCAAAACGCTGCCGTCTCAATCCCTGTGGCTCAACCTCTACATTTATTTCCTGTATTCGGGCCGGATGGGATGACTGTTATGTACTACATGGCTGCACCAGTCGATATCGTACAGTCACCAACATCAAGCGTTACTGCGAAGGCAGAGACAACAAGTGACTCCACAAATCGCCTTGTCTCTTGTTCAACGGAATCTGGTGTCCCTGGTAAGAGTTGCTTTGTTTGGGTCGAATATGTTCGTCTTTTGTATGTCCAACTTCTCATTTTGTCAATGGCAACTTGAGTATTTCCGGATAGTACTGTATCGATATTTTACCGTTGACGGTAAATTGCTGTGTCATTATTATAGCCGATTTATTTTATCTTCCACTAGAGATACCAGCTTGTGTTTTTATGCAGAACTTTCCTGTCCTTCTTTTAGCATTTACCCACGGTTTTCTATAGCTCTCCGATGCTAAGTGATCTGTTGAACCGTTATGAGTGATGTCTAATCACTGGAAATGTTTTGCTTTTTTTTGTATTATATTCTGGCTTCTTTCAGAAACTACTGGACTGAATGCAAGGCCACAATGGGTGTGCTTATTTGTGTTGAGTGTTGAGAGTACAGAAATTTTAACCCTATGGATTTCATTAAATTAAATGAAAAACAAGTTCTCATCTTCAAAATTCAGTTATATATATATATATATATATAGGTGCCAGAATTATCGCACTTGCCTACTGCAAACGAATGCATCGTGAACTGATCAGTGATACCCACCGACGAAAATCCGTATACGACTACCAATGTGAGCACTTCAGAAACGAAGCAAGCAAATCACTGGACGCAGATTGGATCGAACGAATAAAGAACGTCACAGAAGAGACGTCAACCGTAAACCGTTTGAAAACCCGAGCGAGACTAAACAAAAAACTTGACAACTTGAAAGCAACACGTTCAGGATAT